TTTTTTTTTTTTTTTTTTTTTTTTTTTTTTTTTTTTTTTTACTGTGTTCTGTTTGAAGAGAAAAAAAATGGGAACATACAGAGTTTCCCATGATTTTGTAAAGTAAAAGTTAGAACAAATAAATAAAAGAAAAAAACCCTTTTCCTTTTTCGCTTTCATTTTTGTAATGATTTTATTCTTAACCTATTTGGTAGATAAATTCATGATCTTTCCCTTGATTAGCCAAAATGAGAAGCCAAAATAAGACTACTCCAAACCCTAGTTGGTTTTTGGGTTGAAGGATGGAGTGGTTAGATCGAATCCCAAGATTAGGGGCGGAATTAAAGCATTTTGTACATAATCATGGCGGCCTGATTTGATACCTTTTATTTTGATTGCATGCGGGGGTTGGTGTAGTAGGCATTGAATGTGGAAGCTTTTTAAACATCACCATTCATTCATTCCTTCTTGATCTTATTTCCAGTTTGGAGGAGGATAAGGGTAAGCATGAATGTAGGTAGCGTGTGTATACAAAGAGTTCATACAGTGGTTGGCCGCTGAAAACTGAAACCTTAGTTACTGAACGGAGGAAGGGAACGGGCGCCATTGTTGGTTTGAGTACCAAAGGACAGTCAGTAACAGACACATTGTTGCCCCATTTTTTACCGGAGGGAATCTCTATCTCCATTGTACCTCTAATAATAATAATAATAATAATAATAATAATAATCACTTCTCCCCATTTTTTACCCTACGTTAATTTCATTCTTCAGGGTATGAATTTAAAACTAATTTTAAGGCATTAAAATTATAATAATGGTATTTGGGGGCTTAATTTCCATCATTCAGCTGTAAACTCAAGAAATGTAAGAATAATGATGAAGGGGACTGAAATAAATGGAATAAAAACATGAAATTTGGGGGTGGAATCAAAGATTAGAATCAAAACAAATATGATTAAGGTTTTTTTTTATTTAAAGAAAAAAGAAAAATAATAAGTTTGTGATCCAATTCAATGGATCTGAAAGATAAAGTGGAAGTGTATGATTGAAGAAAGAAGGATTTTGCACAGTAATACACCAAAAGAGCAAACTTGGGAGATTGGAATGATGCCACCATTTTCATTCCCCCACTCCACTAAACTAACTCTATATTATCTACACACAGTATATATAGTTGAGGGTGAGTAGAAGAACCTGGGTTTTGCACTGCTTTGGGAGCCATGACCAGTGTGCCCACCAGGACCTTTCCGGCACCTGCAATGGGGACAGTTGCCCTAATGCTTAAAAATGCTGTCTTTTTGTGTCGATTTCGGGTTGTGGGTGTTGATGGGGAGGGTTCAAATCAGGGAGGAGAAAAGGACAGAGGAATTAATTAGACAGAGAGAAAGGGGAGAGAGTTATGGTGGCATCCCTATAGGGTGCGTCACTGTAATCTGCGCTTGATGGGTTTGCGTGATTTTGTTTCTCTTTGCCTAACACTCCGCTCTGCATGGAATTTCACTCTATTTTCATTAACACCAAATGAACAAAACTTATCACAAATGGACACCAAAACCAACGAACACCACCAAACGAGACATAATTGGAGCCGAATAGCTACCCCTTGATTGTGTCATAAAGAGCTTTATGTTCACGCCCCAATTGTCCACTTATTCGGGTACACGTGACTAGCAATAAGAAAAGGAAATGCAGTTTGATGAATGATGATGAGTCATATCAGTGTAAACTTTGCTTTTGCAGATGGAATCTTAAGTGGAACGTATAATAGATTAATTAATTAATTTTTAAAAATTTCAAATTAAATAAATACAGAGATAAATTTATAATTTGAAGATTTATATATATATTTATAAAAAGGGGTAGAATATGGTAATATTAGAATATTTTGTTTAGTAGCGGTGGATTTGGTGATAGGCGAGAGAGATGAGGTGCAGAAAGTGTAGAGCATAGGCGAGTGGGGCCATCCAGAGCCCACAAAGTCCAAGTAGCCAGTGTCTGAGGTCTGGGCCGGCAGCCCTACGTACCCCACCATTAGGCCACTGTACCCTTTTCACCAGAAGCTCTTTTGATAAGCCCTCCTCATCTCACTCATCCATCCCCTTTTCTTTTCTCTCCTTATCGTTTTTCATTTTTCTTAATTTTTTAATTTAACAAAAAATAAAAATAAAAAGTGAAGGATCGAATTTATAACCCACGATGATCGAGAGTCTTAATCATTTTCTACTATGACTCGAGGAGCCTCGACTTCTTCTTCTTTGGAGTCATTTATTCAGCTTTGATACCATGTTAGATGAACACAACTCTCCACACAATGATATGCTATTGTCTGAGCTCTCATCACTTTGTTTTGGGCATTTCCAAAAGATCTCGTAGTAATGAAAGGAGTATTCCTAATTTATAAACAAATGATTATTCCCTAAATTAGGTGGGTTAGCTCGTATTTTTTAAATATAATAAAATAATAATAATAATAATAATATCATCGAATTTTGATAAGAAAATGGAAGTTCAGCGGACGCGCCTACTCACAAACGCGCAGTGTCTAGTTTCCCGCCATTTCCAACAAGCACACAACAGAACGTAAAACCCATCGACGAGCCTCGAAGTTCCGAGGGTTTTTCATCTACGTCTGGTTCACAACAAGGCGAAGAAACAAAGCCATAATTGAAAGCTTCAAACGAAACAGAAGAAATGGATGAAAATGTCGATGAGCAAAGCAAGCTTCCCGAGCTCAAACTTGGTACAGTCTACAAAATCGTCGTTTTTCTTTTCTCGTTCTCATTCTGCATATTAGTTTTTTGAGTTATTTTTAATCCATTTGGTTGAAATGTTGACAGATGCTAAACAGGCTCAAGGGTTTCTCGCATTCTTCAAAACCCTACCCCCCGTAAGTTTTTATTGCAAGTTGGTTTCGCACTTTCGTGACTGAAATTTTAGTGATTGCTCTGAGAACTCTGGTAAAATGTAGAGGAATCTAGATGGAAGCTACCTATTCCTTCTGCATAAGGTCGTAGCTTAATATTCCTTAGTTCCCTGGCCTGCGCGTGGATAAGTTGATGTTACTGGAACTAGGTGCTTAGCGAAGCAGGATAGAAGGACGTTAATTGGATGCTTAATTAACTATAATAGCGAGAATCGTAATTATTTAGAAACTCCTGTAGCTGAGGTTATGTTACTTAATTTAATTGCATGTTTCTGCTGCAGGACTCGAGAGCTGTTCGATTTTTTGATCGTCGGGTCAGTTATTTAATCCTTTCCTTTCATTCGTTAATTTTGTTCAGATGCCATTTGTTGAATTGGGATCTGGTTATCGCTCCCTTGATGCTATTTGAATGGAATATACCATTTGAAACTCAGTCGACTTTTCTTTCTTATCATCATGTCTGTGAAGCAATTTGCGTTTTATCAGAGTGCAATGCTGTTTCATTGTATTTATCCTTTAGTAGCTGGAATTGAATATGCTCTTGTTCACATGCCTCTATTTGATCTCATCTTGGATGGAATTTGATATACGCATGCATATGTAGCCATAATTACCTTCCTCCGTGAATTTGATCGCTCAGGATTACTATACTGTCCATGGCGATAGTGCAGTTTTCATTGCAAAGACCTATTACCGTACTACAACTGCTTTACGACAACTGGGCAATGTATCTGAAGCTCTGTCTAGTGTGAGTGTCAGCAAAAATATGTTTGAATCAATTGCCCGGGATCTTCTTTTGGAAAGAATGGACCATACATTGGAGCTTTATGAGGGCAGTGGTTCCAATTGGAGACTGATCAAAAGTGGTTCACCTGGTAATATTGGCAGTTTTGAAGACGTTTTGTTTGCAAATAATGAAATGCAGGACAGCCCTGCTATTGTGGCACTATTACCGAACTTCCGAGAAAATGGGTGCATTGTTGGACTAGCCTACGTTGATTTAACAAAAAGATTGATGGGGTTGGCTGAATTTCTCGACGATAGCCATTTTACAAATGTGGAGTCAGCTCTGGTTGGTCTCGGTTGTAAGGAATGCCTTCTGCCTCTAGACAGTGGAAAGTTCGGTGATTTAAAACCTCTACATGATGCATTGACAAAGTGTGGTGTGATGTTAACTGAGAGAAAAAAATCAGAATTTAAAATGAGAGATTTGGTGCAGGATCTTTCAAGGCTTGTCAAAGGTTCTGTTGAACCTGTTAGAGATATGGTATCTGGATTTGAATTTGCGCCTGCTGCCTTAGGAGCATTGCTGGCTTATGCAGAATTACTGGCAGATGAAAGCAATTATGGAAACTACAACATCCAGAAATACAATCTTGATAGCTACATGAGGTTAGACTCTGCTGCCATGAGAGCATTAAATGTCCTAGAAAGTAAAACTGATGCAAACAAAAACTTCAGCCTGTTTGGTCTCATGAATAGAACCTGTACTGCTGGAATGGGTAAAAGATTGCTTCATATGTGGCTAAAACAGCCTCTGTTAGACGTCAAAGAAATTAATTCTAGACTGGATCTTGTTCAAGCATTTGTGGAGGATACTGCTCTCCGCCAGGATTTGAGACAACATCTCAAAAGAATCTCAGATATTGAACGATTGACACAGTATCTCGAGAAGAGAAGAGCTGGATTACAGCACATTGTTAAACTTTATCAGGTATAGATTTAAATGAACCACTGACAATTAGTATTAATTGAAATAATTTCTTATAAATGGTTTGGATAATGAGATGAAAATTGTTAATCTTGGCACTGGGTTAATGTTGATTCTTGTACTATCATGAAGAATTTGCTACCTGTTTTCATTGTGAGATTTATGTTTTATAGTAATTTGTGCTTTGTCCATATTGCTCTGATATTTGGACTTTCATCATTATAATGTAGTCAAGTATAAGGCTTCCATTCATTAAAAATGCCTTGGAGAATTATGAAGGACAATTTTCCTCACTTATCAAGGAGAAGTACATGGAATGTCTTGAGATCTGGACTGACAACGATCATCTGAACAAGTTCAATAATCTTGTGGAAACTGCTGTTGATCTTGATCAGCTTGAGAATGGAGAATATATGATTTCATCTAGTTACGACCCTGCTCTGTCCAAGTTGAAGAATGTGCAGGAATCGATAGAGCAGCAAATACAGGATTTGCATAGGCAGGTTGCTAATGATCTTGATCTTGCGGTTGATAAGGCTTTGAAGTTAGACAAAGGTACACAATTTGGACATGTTTTTAGAATTACTAAGAAAGAAGAACCAAAAGTAAGGAAAAAGCTCTCCACCCACTTCATTGTCCTTGAAACCCGAAAAGATGGAGTGAAGTTTACAAACACCAAACTTAAAAAGCTGGGTGACCAGTATCAGAAAATAGTCGAGGAGTACAAGAATTTCCAGAAAGAGTTGGTTCACCGAGTAATTGAAACTGCATCATCCTTCAATGAGGTGGATTTACTGTCTATGATGTATCTATTGTTCATTACCACTTTAATTGAACTAAAGAACTTTGTGTGACTGTAGGTATTCAGACCCTTGGCGGAAATGCTCTCAGAATTAGACGTTTTACTTGGTTTTGCTGATTTAGCCTCTAGCTGTCCAACTCCTTATACTAGGCCAGACATCACATCATCGGTATCTTTTTTACTGTTGATTATCCTGAGCACCAATAGATTTGAATCTTACATAAAAGCTACACTTACTCAAAATTAATTTGTTGCCGGCCTTCTGCAACAGGATGAGGGAAATATTATATTGGAAGGAAGTAGGCACCCCTGTGTGGAGGCTCAAGATTGGGTTAATTTCATACCAAATGATTGTAAATTAGTGAGTGGCTTGTTTGGATAATCAAGAATACGTTAATGCTATTCTTATTTATTGTCATTATGTTTCAGATTTGAAATGACTAATTACTTGAAGCTTTTATTTCCCTCGTAAATAGGTAAGGGGAGAAAGTTGGTTCCAAATCATTACTGGGCCTAATATGGGCGGAAAATCTACATTTATCCGACAGGTGCTATGTTGATGACATTTTCATCATTATTTTATTTTGAAATATCTTTAAACTTCTGGTGGTGTAATAGCCTGGAGTTATGACATATTCGCCCAAATTCCTCTTGTGCCAAGTTTGGATTATTAAGTTCCACAGGGGCTTTATATCAGCTTGCCAATACTGTTGCACCTTGTATTCACTCTGAAAACTGGAAATATGTTTTTATAGGTTGGAGTGAACATTCTAATGGCACAAGTAGGTTGTTTTGTTCCCTGTGACAAAGCTAGTATTTCTGTTCGTGATTGCATTTTTGCCCGCGTAGGTGCAGGTGACTGTCAAGTAAGTTCTCAACACATACTCATTTTTTAAATATCCCTTCACTGAATACTATATTTCTGACATGCATTAAACTATTGTTTTCGTGAACAAATCATGGTTCCTCTTACTTTCCATTAAGGAGTTAAAGGAGACAGGTTCTCTGTGTGACTTTCACTTCACTGGAGGGCTATCTTCGTGCTAGAACAGTGATTAAAACTAATGCTTAGTTTCCCATCATCAACTTATCTTTTTTCCTTATTATTGCAATCTTATTCCTATGCTGCCTAGTTCACACGTTTCACTGACTAATCAAAACTACCTTCTACATATAACAATCCTTTAACATCCTTAGTTGTCCTTCCCTTCTTTTCTACGTGAGTAGGTGTCTATGACTGGAGGCTTATCACATACCCTTTTCTCGTAGTTCTAATTTCCAGGTTCATCGCATGCATAAGCATTCATTACCAACCTTGGAGCCTGCCAACCCCTGGCTAGTTGTAGCTGAACACTTGATGATACATTAGGAAATGACAATTAAGCAACTGCTTGTTTGGTTGATTAGTTTCTCTGTCTTCACAATCACATGTTAGTATTTACTAAGGTCTGAGAGCCTACATGGTTTTACAGTTTTTCAAACAAGATTTTCAAGCCATTCAAAGTGACTAATGAGCTGCTTAGGTTTCAAATTAACCACGATAGGGAAAAAACCCACCAAAGGGCGTAGGCCTATAATCCTTTTTCTTGGCCTTCATAGTATCCCTTTTTACTGGCGCTACCTGCAATCTATGTCCTGATATTCATAAATGACTTCTGATGATGTGGTGTTTACTTCAGTTTTTGAATGCCGCAAACTGTTGTGGGTTATATGCTTTAATCTCATTCAATGGACTACTTTAGTTTCGATGCTTTAGTAAGTTTAAAAAAATGGATCAAGAAATTAATTTTACTGACTTTACTTCGACTCTGCTGAAAGCTTCTTTTACATAAAAAAAATTAATCACACACTGTTCAGCATCTTATCTAGAAGTCAGATCACGAGGGAATCAGGGTTGTAAAGGCAAAAGCAGATACAAAAAATATATTTTAAATTCTTTTGAGTTCTTAATAGGACATCAAGTGCTAATTTAAATTGTAAAGAGCTTAGAGAGAATGAGTTCAAATTTGGTAACCACATTATATTTAATATCCTATGAGTTTCTTTCATAACCAAAAAATGGTAGGGTCAAACGGTTGTCCTATGAAAATAGTTGGTGGGTGCAAGTTGGTCCAAACACTCGCAGATGTGCATATATATATATATATATATATATATAATTGTATTTACAATCAACATTGTAATTGATGGGGAACAATTTTTTGGGACTTTTTCTGTGAAGGCATTTGCTCGACAATTTTCTCTTAGTTAAATTATTTTCTCGTTACTTGTATATTTGAGCCGGCTGTTTCCTTCGATGTGGAAATCTACTAATGTCTATTTTACTATTCTAGCTTCGTGGAGTTTCTACCTTTATGCAAGAGATGCTTGAAACTGCATCTATACTGAAAGGAGCTACAGAGAAGTCTTTGATAATCATTGATGAATTGGGCCGTGGGACATCCACTTATGATGGATTTGGTTGGTTTCTTTCTTGACTCCCTTGCTTTCTCCTGACGTGTCTTGCATTATAGAGTTCTCATAATTTATTCCATAAGGTGCATCGTCAATTCTTTATCACTTGCCCTTTTTGAATTGAAGAATATCCATATAAGTTGTTAAATGTGTATGGCTGGGAACTCTATGAAGAATTGACTACCCAAGCCTCCAACGTTCATTGAACTTTTTATATACCCTAGTCCAAAAAACCATATTAACAGACGAACACAGAAAGGAATTAAACCTAATGGTATCCCAAAGATCCTCTCTAGACTGCTCTACACCACCAAAAATTATCATATATCTCAATGAAAGCTTGGTTTCTCATAAAGAACATTTTTTTTTTTTAATTTTTAAAATTTGAATTAATTAGAGCATGTAGCTTGAAGAACTAAAGAAGATCAGTTATCTCGATGAAAAATGTCTTTCTTTCACCCATTCGACCCAACTTGCTGAAAATTGTAGTACATTTTAAATGACACTCTTTATAATGTGCCGATTTTCACCCACTAACATTTATCCCCCTATCTTTACTTAACCTGCCGAAAATTGCAGTACATCTTAAATGATACTTTCTTATTACATGACGATCATCACCTTAAATTTTTATGCTTGAGCATGCACGACAATGCTTTGTTCACTGGTTTTAAATGAAATCAGTTATTTTCTCAAGTTGGTTTTTATTAAAATTACTCTGTATTGAATCTTATAATCAGGTTTAGCATGGGCCATTTGTGAACATCTTGTTGAAGTGATTAAAGCACCCACTTTATTTGCAACCCACTTCCACGAACTAACTGCACTAGCTCATGGCAATACTGATCTTGAGCCCCATGGAAAGCAAATTGTTGGTGTGGCAAACTTTCATGTCAGTGCACACATAGACTCATCAAATCACAAGTTGACAATGCTGTACAAGGTAAATGGTTGCTGGGAATATCTCTTTTTCCTATATTTTATATTTTTTTTTGTCTTAAATTAGATGGGTTGACCAAGGACATCATAACAGAGTATGCTTCATTTTTTCCTGTTTCTTTTGGATTCTGTATTTTAGCCTAAAAGGTTTGTTCTAGGAAAGATGAGGAAATGGAACCCCAGTGGTATATTTTTCTGAATACATTAATGATATAAAAACACATGTTAATATAACATAGTAGTTTGAAGACACGACAGAAGGGCATTGATGATGTCATTTGAATAATTTCCGTTGGATTTATATTAACCTGTATGGCATCTGTAATATGTTGATCAGGAGTTATTAGACCAATGAGAGTGAAAGAAAAGCTAAAACCTGAAGTGCTGTTGTCTACATGTTCGTGAGCCTTTTAGACTTGGTATTCAATAATAGTGTCGATCTATCACTTGTGAATTTAGACTTGGTATTTTACCCATGATCCACTTCAGAATCTATAAATTTATTCCTTCAAGTTGAAAAAAAAAAAAAAAACCCCATCTATTATTTAGACCATGCATCCGAATGTCAAATCTTCCAGTTTCCAAACCTATTTTAGTTTGACCAAATGTTTTCCCAGCCTTCATTAAAATTGGAGGCATCAAGTTTATTATCCTCCCCCTCAATTACCGGCTGTTGTAACTAGCAAGTTCGTTTATGTAACAGAGCTTCATTTAGTCCTTCGCTTTTCTGTCTTTTGCAGGTTGAACCTGGAGCTTGTGATCAAAGCTTTGGGATTCATGTAGCAGAATTTGCAAACTTTCCTTCTAGTGTCGTGGCACTTGCCAGAGAAAAGGCTGCTGAACTGGAAGATTTCTCCACTGATTCAACTACTTCAGCCACTACCGGGAAAGAGGTATAATCTATAGTGTTACATTTTCGTTAAAAATAATTGATTCCATGCTTATCTACACTCCAAAGTATGGGATCAATGAATCCGAAACTCAAATAAGACCAACTTGTCTTACCATCTTTTTCTTTCCGAAACTTCTATTTCTTTCCAAAATCTAAATGACACCCTACCGTATCGAAATCTAGACTACTATATATTCATAATTTGATTCAAACAAAGTTTCTTTTTTACAAATAAACTGACTGCATGCAAGGTCTTTTTGTTTCCTGATCCTACATGTGATTCTTTTCGCCAAGCAAGCTGTGGACTAATGTAAAGGGAAAAGGCGAATAGTTTTGGTTTTAAAAAATAAAGGAAAAGGCCTAATTTATGAATATCATCCTTGATTATAGTTTTTCAGAGAAAGGGGCTTCGGGAAAAAGTGAGTTGTATACCTAGCTTTCTTTCTATAGCAAGTTTCCTTGTTTATCTCACTGGAGGGTTGACGGGTGAGACTTTTTTCTCTAGAGGCATTAGAGTGGAAGATCCGCTAGCCACCTTTCTCATTTGAGGGAAGGAGCGAATACTTGTTAAATTCACATAAGCGTAGCTCAATTTTTAGATTTTCTGTGGGCTGAAAAAACAACTTTTCTGAACAAGGTTAATGCAAGAAGACAACTCTGAACCAAAATGGAAGCAAAAATTTAAAAATGAAACTCCCAATGTTAAGAATCAACAACTTGATAATTAGGAAACAATTTTGTTGTAGAGATTCAAAAGGGAAGTATCAGAATGTGTCAAACTTCAAACCTCATACGAAGAAACATCTATAGCCTTAAAATGAAATCTCCATAAAATGTGGTCCAAATCCTAAATTACTTACTTGAAAGCACATACAAATTGAAACTCAAATTCATAGACGAAGATCTGTAGACAAAGCCAATGGGTTAATCCTCTCATCCCTAACCAACCAAGAGAAACATAGACTTGGAAGAGAATATACCCATGGCCACAAGGAACCTAATACAATTGTCAAAAGAATCCAAGTGAAGATGAACAACATGCAAAAGAGAACAAATATGATAAATCATTGGTCTCTCCATCAAACAGATCTTTTCTAAATTGAAAGTTGCAAGATAAATAAACAACATTCATAGACAAGTAAATTACAGAAGGTTGTCAGGTGAGATTTTTTCTCTAATAGGATCATCTTTCTGAAGAGATTGATGAGACGTAGGGATGACAATAACTCTGGAAGAGTGCCTTAAATCACCACAATAGTCACCCATTAGAGTGATGCCCCTAATTATTTTTGCTGTTATTTTTGTTCAACATCATATTGAATGGAGGGATTTAAATTTCGACCTCTTCATCAAGGGTATATATCTTAATTAATTGAGCTACGCTCAAGTTGAATACTACTCTAAAAAATGTATGAGGCATGCAGATGCATGTATTACTGTTAAATATATAGATATTCTAGTCATGTGTTATATGCCTTTACTTATGTACACTACCATTATATACAGATACCATCAAAGCGAAAACGCGAGTTTGGTTCAGAAGACATGTCCAAAGGTGTAGGGCGGGCTCGCCAGTTTTTAGAGGAGTTTGCTAATCTTCCATTGGATAAAATGGATCTAAAGGAAGCTCTACAACAAGTGAGCCAATTACGAGATGGTTTGAAGAAGGATGCCGCGAACTCTAATTGGCTCCAACAATTCCTTTAAGGCGGTGCCTGCTACCTCATTCTTGTCTTGTGATCTTTGTACAGCTTGGTCAGGCGTGAAGGAGATGTTTGTTTAGTATCCTCCCTCACAATTTTGGTGAGCGCTGGCTATTTTTTTTTTTGTGGAGGGGAAAAGTTAATTATGAATCAAAGCAAGAAGGGGAATGCTTGGAGACTATGGAATCTGCAGACTACTTCTACCATGGTTTTATATGTTCCTGAGTTAATTAGCTAATCACCCGCGTGCGTGTCTATATATATATATATATATATGTAGTGTGTGTGTGAGATCTCACGTTCTTTACAAGAGCGTGGAAACTTCTCCCTAACAAATGTGTTTTAAATTTTTTGAGAGAAATCCCGTAAGGGAAAGCTCATAGAAGACAATATCTGCTAGCAGTGGCTTAGGCCGTTACAAATAGTATCGGAATTAGGCACCGGACAATATGCTAGCGAGAAGGCTAAGCCCCGAAGGGGGTGGACATGAGACAATGTGCCAACAAGGATGTTGGGCTTCGAAAGGGGTAGATTGAGAGGTCTCACATCAATTGGAAAAGAGAACGAGTGCTAGCAAAGATGCTGGGTCCTGAAAAAGGGTGGATTGTGAGATCCTATATCGGTTAGAGAAGAGAACGAAATATTTTTTTTATAAGGAAATAGAAACCTCTTCCTCGTAAACACGTTCTAAAAATTTGGAGAGGAAGTTATTGTACTTATGCATATTGAAAGGAGCCCTCTCAATGGTTACAAAAAGGCTCCTTGAATCTGTCAAATGCCTCATCCACCACTTGTTGAATCTTCCCATTATCCGGTTATTAAAAATATCATCGTCCCCATTATCCGATTATGTTAGGACATAGGTTTCCCAAACAAATAGTAGGGCCATTCTGTCCAATAAAAAATGCCATTGACCTGTCGGCAGTTGGAGCTTAATTTAAATATATGTTTTTTTTCTGTCTAGCCCTATTTGGCTCTCACAATGTCCACCAACTAGTATGACAATATATTCAAACATTATATTGACTGAGTTACCCCCGCATGTTCATCCACATTACATCTTTAATTATTCCTTTGCGTGCCCATATTTGTAATTTGACATTTCTTTGGTTTTTGGCAGGGACACAAATGCGTAACCCCCGGGTAATTTTAATCCTTTCTCACACACATATATATATATATATATATATATATTAATTTTTTATGTACTCTATCCATAAAATAAATGTTAAATGATAGAAAATATCAATAAATTTTGTAATTCGTTTTTTTTTTTTTTAATATTCTAAAAGTTTCGTTAATACACATAAATTTTATAACGTTAAAAATATCTTTAAAATTACCAACAAAAATATTAGTTTAATTTAAACAACAAAAAAATATTTTTATTAATATATTCAAAAAATTGAAATCTCGAGGTTTAAAATCCTACCGTTAAACGATACAGATGTAAAATTTTATCCAAAAGTTCCATATGAATGGTTTTATGTCTATCATACAAATTGACATGAATGTATTTTTAAATGGGTAAGTATATTACTTCTTTTGTATTATATATAAATATTAAATAATATTATTACAGCGCGACAAAAATCATATTAGTTTGCTTATAAAACATGACTTTCATATATATCTAAGTCTATATAAAAAAATAAAAAATAATAAAAAAAAGGAAAAAAGCGTAGAAATTATTTAGAAATTTAAAACCAAATAAAGATTTAATTATTAAAAATTGTTTATTTGTTCTGGTTGGTTGTCCTATTCAAAATTCGCCCCTACACACGTGGAGGAAGGCACCAAAAATGGGGGTTGAAAAACGCGGGTGAGATTAGGATCCCCCAATAACTCTACGAGCGCCCATCGCATCGACATTTGCCTCCGTTTCTTCCCACCACGCTCCCCCCCCAATCCCTTCCTCTCCACTTGGTTGGATATTTCAAACTTGACTCTGTTTTTCCTTCAAGCAAAAGCATCTGGCAAAGGTAGCACAGTAGCGAGGACCTGGATTAAGATATTGTTGTTTGAGAAAAGAGGAGAGAGGGGGGGTTTCTTTCGTTTTCCTTTCCCTTTCCCGACGGTGGAAACAGACCCATCTATCTCCTTTTACTTCAATTCATTCTTTTCCTCACTTTACACCAACTGATTGCGCATCCGGGGTTAGAAGCAGAGACGGGGATTGAGAGCTTCTGGTCCTTTCTTCTCCTTCATCATTTTTTCTATTATACCCAGTTTCTGATTTCTCTTCTTTTTTCCAATTTGGGTTCTGTTCTTTTCGATGGTTTGCACGATGGGTCATCTGGTTTTTGGGTTTTGAGGGGCGTGTCGAAGAGGGGTGGAGGCCTGTTTGAGGTAAAGGAAGTTAGTGGGAGGAGGAATGACTTGGAGGAGAGTGTTGAAGTCCGTGCAGGCACTTTTGGCCCACGGTTTACTCTTCTGTTTCACGCTGTTGCTCGTTCTCAAGCTCGATCATTTCGTCTCTTACAGTTGGTGGTACTTTATTTACTTATTTGTTTCCTTCTTTGTTCTTCGATCTCTCTGTTCATCAAATTTTGTTTTTATTTTATGGGTCATTATATTTTTCAGGTTCCATTGCGGTTCACTTGATTGTGGTTTTTTTCCCATTCCCCTCATTTTTAAATTAAACTATCGTGAAGTGGGGAAGGGCTAAAGCGTCGTGTTAATTGTGGATTGTTTCTTTAATGCGTTGGGGGATACCAATTAGGAACATGAATTGCTAATCGGATATTTGGTATTAAGATACTGTGGTGATCGTAGAACATGGCAAGAGTTTTGAAAATTTGTGGAGATGGTTTGGCGATTGAGTTCAATGGTTGTCGGCGGGTGTGTAGTTGGTTCCTTTCTCTTGAAGTGAGGAATAAATTGAAACTTAGTCCAAAGTTTATTACTGCGTGGTGCTTTGAATTGGCTTTTCATTCTCATCCGACAGTTCATACTGCTTCTTTTTTTTACTTGAACAAGAAAGAAAGAAAAGAAGAAAGAAGGGGTCAATTTAGGCCCCTTCCCTTCCACTGCGTAGCTTCGCTATTCTGTTCCACTCCCATCTATCCTGTTTGTATGATTTCTGTAGAGTAATTGTGTTCGAGGTAGTGGATGCGCTGCAATTCATTATTTTTTAAAAAACAAATACTTTCAGTCTAGGAGTACACTCGCAGCTGGAAATGTTGTAGACTGTAGAGTAATAAGTATAAGAGAAACCACAATTTCCTCTTTCTTTCCTTTGAAATTTTACAAAATTTGGTATGCAGGGTTATATTTTTTCCACTTTGGGTGTTTCATGTGGTTGTTGCTCGAGGAAGGTTCTCATTACCTGCCCCATCTCTTCCTCATAATCGTCATGTAAGTCACTAATGGCAAATGGATTTTCGTTGGGATTGACTCTGTTTTGTGTTTTCTTATTAGATGGTTTCTTTTATGACATAATTTGTAAATCTGCCATGTATCTCTGTTGAACAGTGGGCACCGTGCCATGCTGTTGTTGCGACACCTTTGCTTATAGCATTTGAGTTACTTCTTTGTATATACCTCGAGAGCCGATCTGGTATGTCATTGTTATGGATGTGTTTACATGTACATGTTAGTGTAGTTTTCATTTTCTTTATGCTGTTGATTTGAAATATGACACCTTCGAATGATTTGTAATTGTTTAAGAATGTTGGTGCATTATTTCCAGTGCAACGGTTTTTGTTCCCGAATTTTCAGTATTCGTCAGGGTATTGTTCTGTATGCTTATTGAGGCAATTCCATTTCTGCCAGTTTATGGTTTTGCTGCTGTGAACTTGAAGATTGTCTTTCTACCGTTGCTGGCATTTGAAATCATTATCTTAATAGATAATTTCAGGTACTTGTTTCTTAAAGTTTTCTCTGCATTAAATGTTGTATATATTGAGATATCTGATGCTTTAGTCTTTTAACAATTATCTTTATGGGTTGAATCCTTCTTGACCTTTGTACTTTTTAGAATTGCCTCATCTAAACTGTGAGATCCCACCTTGGTTGGAGAGGGGAACGAAGCATTCCTTATAAGGATGTGGAAACCTCTTCCTACTAGACGCGTTTTAAATCTTTGAGGGAAAGCTTGGAAGGGAAAGCACAAGGAGGACAATATCTGCTAACGGTGGGCTTGGGCTGTTACAAATGGTATCAGAGTCAGACATCGAACAGTGTGCCAGTAAGGACGTTGGGCGCCCAAGGAGGGTGGATTGTGAAATCCCACATTGGTTGGAGAGAGGAACGAAACATTCCTTGTAAGGGTGTGGAAACCTCTCCCTAGTAGACACGTTTTAAAACTTTGAGGGGAAGCCCGGTGGGTTTGGGCTATTACATAAACTTTCTTACGTGGATTTGACGGTTAAATTATTAATTTCTTACCCCCATATGACCCAATATAATGATTGGTATGTCTGCTGTTGTGCTGGATCACCTTTGACCCTCACCAAATTATTGTTGAGACTTGGGACCATTTTGACGAAATTCACTTATTTTAGAAATAGGCTTCTGAATTTAAACCATTTTTTTTTTTTTTATTGACGGTGTCTTTTTATAGAATATTGAATTTAGTAGATATATTGTACATTCTTTCATTGAAGCTTGATTTCTTACCCCAACGAAAATGTAGTAGCTATATTTACAACCCATAACTTATGATTTCCTTCTCAGTTTTGTTTTCTGTGTTTGGCCTGACAATGTTATTTCCGAAATTATGATGTTAGGTTACGAGCTTCTATTTCTTACCGTTGTATTGTGCGTTTCTCAGTGCCAAATATGATTAGATTGGGTAGTTGCCTCGTGATGTAAACACGTTTTATGTGTGAATAGTCTCCATATGGCATTTCAAATAATCCTGCTCAAGAAGCTTTCCGTGCTCTTAAGAAATGTGTTCGGATCTCACCCAAGTTAGTGTGAGTTGGTCTGACCTGCCGTTATCTTTTCAGAATGTGTAGGTCACTGATGCCTGGTGACGATGAAAGCATGAGTGACGAGGCAATATGGGAGACGCTGCCTGTAAGTCTCAATAGATTTTTTATCAATGAACTTTTCACTGTGAGACGATCCCTTATCTTAAGTTAATATCTTAAGAATGCTAAAATACGTGGCCTATTGAAGTTTTTTGAGTTATATGTTACCAAAAGAACTCAGCATTCTGTATTTCTGAGCTGAGAGCAACAATCTTCTGGCTGCTAGA